CTCTACCTCTACCTCTACCTCTACCTCTACCTCTACCTCTACCTCTACCTCTACCTCTACCCCTACCCCTACCTCTATCTCTATCTCTATCTCTACTTCCACCTCTACCTCTACCTCTATCTCTTCTAATCTCGGGCTCAATCCCTTTAGTTAAAAATAAATAAGACTCTACTTAATATTTGTATTTTCTACATCTATATATATATATCTCTCTCTCTTTTTCAGTGCTAACGGTGCTCAGTATCACCATCAAGTACAACGAATATGCGACAGACAAGGGCGGCAATATTAGCATACCGTGCATAGCACAGGGCAACATTATGTGGGTCAAGGAGCACGGCAGCAATAGCACCATTATACAGGTGATAATAGATCTAAATGAATATGGCTTTATCTGAGACTATGAGCTATTGTCAAGCAATGCACATTATTTGAACTGTTTCCGTGTGTGAATGTCCCTTCTCTTCCATAGACGGGTCGTATATTGGTGTTGCGCAATGTGAGCACCTCGGACAGTGGCATTTATGTCTGCTTTGCAACGGTGCCTCTCACAACAACAACAACATCAACAACAACAACAACGACAGCGAGACCAACAACGGCAAGGGAGTTAACCATGCCAGCGAAAGCAGCAGAAGCAACTACCTCAGCGCCGCAGCAGGAGCAGGAGCAGGAGCTGGAGAAGGAGCAGGAGCAGGAGCGGGAGCGGGAGCTAGAGCCAACGCAGCCTGTCGAGGTAGAGGAGGAGCAGGAGTACCGGGCTTACCAGCGCAGCAAACTAACCGTGCGCACCACACCCGGCCCGGTGACCCAGCTGTACTTCAAGGCCTCCACCATATTGGGCTTTCTCATCTGGCGCTTCAACAAGACCCAGTCCGGTGGCTACCCCGTGCGCAGCTTCACGGCTGAGTATCGCAACATCTCGTACCGTCAGCCGCCCTACAATGCCAGCTTCGAGCACGCGTGGAGCCGCATGGATCCCATCAACATAGCGCCCAACGTGGTGAGTAGAGTGGCCCTGCCCATTTGGGCGCCCATTTCAAAAGAATCATTTCCGCTACATAATCACTTCCTTCGTGCCACAGCGCCAAATGGAGGTCTATCGGCTGGCGCCCAACACCACCTACGAGTTTCGGATATGGGCCAACAATGAGCTGGGCAGCGGCACGGTGGTCACTACCAATGTGACAACCTTGCCCGAGACCAAGGAGGAGGGTAAGCGGCCACTTAGACTAGCTGTCTGCCTGTCCCACAGCCAACACCAAATACAAATAACTAACTAACTACCCAACTAAACTACTAACTAACTAACTAACTAACTAACTAACTATAATTGCTAATATTAAGAAACGATTCTTAAACAAAGTCTTAGTTCTAGCTAGATAAACATTCGATAGTTATCTTGCTGTCGTGCCTATCTAGTATCTATCTGTAGAAATTGCTGTTATTTGGTGTCAACTGTACGCGGCACAGGATCTACATATATATGTATATGTATATGTATCCTGTGCGGCGTTATTCTAGTAGTAATTACCTATTGACTGTACTACTTGATTTCTCTATAATTTCACACAATCACACACATACATACATACATATGTATATCTACAGAGATATATATTTGTAGATGATCTCATTTCAAGTATTTTAAGTAATTCGTAATTCTGGTAATTTTGTCGTTTGTCATCATCTCTCTTTTTTCTTATCTATCTCAATTATATATATACGTACGTGATCGAGGACCGTGCAGATCTCATACGCCTTATTAAACCCGACTTAGATAATTTCGATCCGCGCATTTGGATAGTCGCCGTCAGCATAGTGCTCGGAACACTTGTGATATTAGCCATCGGACTCTGTATTGTGCTCTCTAAGGAGTGCTATCAGGCAACGCAAATGGGTACAGCCAATTCGCCAACAACAATAGCAAATAACTGAAACTAATTGAGATATATATATCTGTGTATATACATATATGTATATATGTACATGTATATGCCTTCATATATATATATATGTATATGCTGTACATACACGATTTATGATTTGGCTAATGTTGTTGTTATTGTTGCTCGTATTTTAACAAAACAAACAGCAATTGCTGCTGATTCGAAAACGCAACTCGTTGCTTGTCATTGTCATTAGCATTGTCATTTGCATTGCCATTGCCAGTGTTGTAAATTAACCTGAATCCCAAATGCTTTTTAATGGACTTCAGGCACTAGAAATATATCAAAAATATTTATTACAAATTCCGAATGCAAATGTAGTGCCTGGACTCCATTAGCGTGCTTCTTCTTCTTCTTCTGTTTTTTGTTTCATCTGCCTTTTTTTTGGCCACATATAAGCCTTGGTTTCATACATACATACATAAGCTATTGTATTTGTTGTCGTTGTTGTTGCTGTTGGTGTTCGATTTCGCATTGTTTTTGGTGTTTGATTTGTGCTTATTAAATATTAAATATATATATGTATATACATACATATACACATATATATTACTAGTTGTTGTAGCTACTCTTAATAACTATCATTAGCTGCAAAGCCAATAGACTATATATACATATATGTACATAAAAGTTAACGTGCTTATTTATCATACATAGTATAAAATGTATATATATATATACATACATAAATATGTATACATATGTATATGAAGTCTAGCTTTATGCATATATTACCTACATTTTAAGTAAATAATTATATTTATATTGCCAACAAAATCTAGATTCAATCAAACTAAATTGATATTCAATTAAATTTCTAATGAGATTTCAGGAAGAACGTAATCAAATTCAATTATGAACACTTCAGTGTGTTGCAGTCGGGCACCATCGACTGCACAATACTCGTTCACAGCCTGAGCTTAAAAGATGTTTAAGATATTGTACTATATTCTGATTTTCCGATATGATAAATTCGGCTAGATGATGATTTTAAGATTTTAAGTATAACTGTAGGAGCTATAACTATACAGATTTATCACGCTACTAAGGGCGTTTATATACATATGTATATATACAATGTATTCTTAGCCCTCAGTTATCCACAAGTATTTATTACTAATTTCAATCCCATAAGTGTATTATGTATAACACTTTCTTGTACGTTTTATAACTTTATCTATCTGCCGAGAATTTGAACTGTAAATCATGTGCCAAATTTAAATATTCCAGCTCAATTTAAATCTTTCAAAAATTTGAAGTCTCTAAAACCTTCATTGATAGTATTATCATATATCCAAATATTAGGCAAGATTCGAGCATAGAGGGGTATATATTATTCAAATTTCAAGTCTCTGCTTGAATAGCGGAGAAATAGTTTGCTCTCATACGGACGGATGGACAGACAAACGGATGGGCAGACAGACAGACGGATGGACAGGCGGATGGACAGACGGATGGACAGACAGATGGACAGACGGACGGAAGATGGATGAACAGACGGATGGACAGACGGATGGAAGATGGATGGACAGACGGACGGAAGATGGATGGATTAGTGGATAGTAGAGCGATGGACGACTGATAAAGAGACAGATAGGCAGAGAGATAGACGATTAGACAGACAGACGGACTGATAGACAACCGGACGGGCAGCCAGACGAACGGAAATGAGACGGACAAGCGGATAGCAAGTAAAACGAACAGGCGTACATACAAACGGACAGACGGATAGGTAGACACGCAGACGGACGGACAGAAAAACGGTCGGAACACCGCCGGATGAGGGGATAGTTAGTAGAGCAATAGACGACTGACAGGCAAATGGAAAGACAGACAAACAAAGTGGAAAACTAATAGACTCCTCTGTGTTCGTGAACGAGTATAAATGTCAAAGATGACTAGCAGCAATTAGCTGAAATTTTAACTATAAATAATGTAGCTGTCAATCAAAACAAGACATTTTAAAAGTATTAAAAACTAAATGCCGTCTCTACGCAAGACCTCAATATATTAGCGACCAAAGTTTTTAGCCACATCTGTGATAGACAACGAGCACAATCTCAACTCGCACCTAAGAACCATAAGTAGAGCTCTAGAAATATGCACTGAGCAAGTAGGAATATAGATGCAAATATTTCAGATAATAATATAAATAATATTGAACACTAAATAAAGCAAAACGAAGCCTTAAACCGTGAGCAAGAGTGAAATGAAAATAGAAAAGAAAAGAAAAGAAAATGAAACAAAGTACCTATATATATGATATGAAATGCAATATGGGCAACTTGGCAGCGTGTGATACGTTCGGTGATATATGATTTATGCTTTCCTGCCTTCCTCTGCTGTCACTTTGCTATTGAATTTCCATTTCGATTTTCAATTTGCATTTTCAATTTCAAAATCAATTTAAATGTGAAATAAACGAGTTGAGCAAATGTTACTTTAAATATATATTGATGTTGTAAACTATATACACACACCTACACCTATATATATATATAAATATCTGTTTATATATACATATATTCGCATATACATGAGTAGCAATTAATATTCCATTTATGTGCTTTGTGTTATGGCACGCCAATTAAATGTTTCAATCCTTATATAAAGAAAGTCAAATACATTTATCGGAACATTCTCTAGAGTCTTGTGTTGTTACCTCTTTTAATTTCAGTTGATGTGCTTATTGTTAGACGTACATATATGTCACATACATACACACACACACACACACAAACGCTTGGCTTGAGTTGAATTTACATAAAAAATATGCAGGCAAATATTACGTATACGCAGCGCTTGGTCGCTTTTTGGCTTAACGGCTGAACTCGTATATTAACATAAAAAATATACACCATTATCATTACTAACATATACATACATATATACATGTCCATAGACACCCACTCATATATATATTTGCTTCAATTTGAAAATATTATCAAAATTGTGTTAAATAAAAATATTACGTATACGCCGCGCTGCTCGCGCGCTTATCAGCATATACAGATAAACACACACACACATACACACACACATACACCTATACTCATGCACACACATGTCTGCCTTAATTTGAAAATATGAACAAAATTGTATTACGTATACGCCGCATTGGTCTCGCTTTTGCCAGTTTATAAGCGCGCTTTGTCGCCACGCACACACATACACGAACGCATACACACATATATATATTTCTATATATGCACATTAACACAATTATTGAGAAAAAATAGAAAAGAATTTAAAGCAACTAGCAAAAGGTAATGTAATTAATGTCAAATGATGTTTAATGCTATTTTTTCGTTCTACTCTTTCTCTATTTATCTCAATTCTCGTTCCATCTCTATCTCTTTTCTTCTCTTTCTCTCTATCTCTCACTCTCTATCTATTTCGATTTCCAATGCACACAAACTCTCTCTCTCTCTCTCTTTCATTTCTCTATCTCTCCCTCTTTTTCTCTCTCTCTCTCTCTCTCTCTCTTTTTCATATTGCATTGACTCTAATTTCTATATCATGCTATGCGGCCTTGTAGAACTCAAAGATGGTTGGGACAGCATTGAGCTTATACCGAATATAATACTTAATCCCGGTTTCAGTGAATCCGACGGACCCAAGAGCGTGCCGCCATTCACGCGCACCGTCATCTTTGGCCACAATGGACAGCCCTACAATGATGATGACGACGACGACGACGAGGAGGAGGATCCGGAGCCGACCATGGAAAAGTTTAAGCGCAAAGTTTCGGTATTCTTTACAGGTCCCACCATCAAACGTATTTGAGAGTACAAAGTGCAATTTACTGGCTACGCCCGTTCAGATCTATCTAGGTTGTTCTCGATTGTGCTACGGTTAAACCCAAATTATATACACACATACATACGTATTCACATACACTGGTACATCAGCACATATATCTGATGTACGTAGAGCTTATCGTTTGTGCTGCAGGCGCGATAATTTGATTTTCGGTTTCATTCGCTTCGACTATGCTATGTTATCTATCTACTGTTAATTGTTGGACAACATTTTTGTAACACGAACTGAACACCCCTATGAGAATGCTAAAAATAGCTCGGCTCGATTCCAAAAACTTTCCACATTTTCGCCCAAGCTGAGGGAGAGCTCACTCTGTAGATAAACGTGAAATGTGTTAACAAAAGGTTGCAGAAACCGAAATGCGAAGTGTTCAACATTTCGTGCTCATAGAATGTATTTTAGACAGGTTAACACATACAAACACACACACACACACACACACACACATACACACTGGTGTATTTTACATAATGAAATGACAAAAAAATATTGCTGTGATATAAATTCAATTGAAGGACATTATAAAGATTTATTAATACTCGTATATAGCAAAATCAAATCTCGAATATGAACACACACACACACACACACACACTCGCCCATGCATACACCGAGAGAAATTCTTAGCTATTTTTGTTGATGTAGTGAATTATAGTTACAGGCATAAATAACATAATTGCTGAACATAATTATTTTATGTAAATAATATATATTTATAAATATATAAAGATTTTTTTTTTTTTTTAAATTGTAGAAACTTTTAAGAGTTTTAAAGTATGTATATGTATATATATATATAGATCAATTTGTTTTTTTTTTCTAAGAAAATATTCAAACAAGATTTAGAAAAATTTTAACATATATTTATATTTTAAAACTCTAAAATGTTTTCGTAATTAAAAAAAAAAATTGAAATTATTTTCTTTTTTTTTTCGAGAATTAGTTTTAGTGAAACAACAAAAAAGCTGCTAGCAGTTTCTATATAATTATGATTTGTTCAAGTCAGATAATCAAAACAAAAAAAAAAAGAAACCTAAATAACTGTGAATGAATTTTATAATTGAGCAAATATTTTGCACTGTAGCGCGCACCAAGGTGAAGAAGAAGAACAAAAAACAATATAAAATTATATATATACATGTGTACAGTGTACATGTAGTGTATGGAGAGTTATATAAACCATATGATTTCAACATGTTAGGAAAGGGTTTTTGAATATTTAATAATAAACAAATTGCCTGCGCGACATAATTTACAGGAAAAAAAAAACACACATATATATACATATATATTGCTTCCAAAACTTTAGTAGATACAAGCGAAAGCAAACAATGAAATTGTTATTGATTTTACCTTTAGGAGAAACACGTTCTGTTTTCAATGAGAATTTTCCAATGAGCACATTGTATAAATATACTACATACAATACATATATATATATATACACTATATATGCATATATATATAGCTATGTATATTGTGTAAATTAAGAAAGACTGTAGCTAACTGTTAACAGACATTTAGCCTGATTGCTATGCTTTATGACTTAACTGTATTTCAGTTCTACATTGCTCTCGCCTTAAAGCTAACAAAGTTATCAGCAATAGTTAAGGATTATCTTCGGCTGCACTTTCTGTTCTTTACCAAGAGGGGGTGAGAGAGGGAGAATGGGAGAGGGGTAGTGGGATAGAGGTATCTGAAATACTTCTGGATTATATAGAGAAGCACGCTTGAGCCTTAAACTACGCTTTAAGATGTTTACCGTTCCGTATATGCAAACAAAAAAGAAAAAACAAACAAAAGTATGCTACTCCTTAATCATAACTAAATCTGTGGATATAGTACGTAATCATGTACATATAGCCGCACTCAAGAGTTTCCAATTCCAATTAACTTCAAAGCTCTTATGCTTTTTGTAAATGACCATTAAACTATATTTAGAGAACAACAACAAAAATGGATTACAATAACAAAGCAAATAAAAAATTGAAAAAGGGAAATACAAACACACACACACACACAGATGAACAAATATTGAAATAAATTGAAGTTTACACAAAAAGTAAGCAAATGGCTAAAAGCGTTTGAAATCTCTTTTTTTTTATTCTTTTTTGATTGTTTGTTCAACTTTATTTAAGTAATTCATACTCTGGGAGGTCATCATTTACATCTCTTCTCTTATCTGGGACAAAAAATGCATACATATACATACATATATGATGGGGGGGACAACCATGTGGCAGGGCTCCATGGGATGCCCAGTTCGCGTTAGCATTGATTAATCGTAATATTTAAAAAGCTTAGCTTAAACTTAAACGCACTTAACGAAAATGAGTGTAGCCGAGCCTAGAGCGCTACACTCGCCAAAGTATTTGCTGTCGAATCCGTAGCTACACTTAACTTAAACCGTACACATATCATATCATATATTGTGAAGTGGGAATGCATTCCAAATCAAAACAAATCCAAACTGAACAAAATTCGTACGTCCGACAAATGCAAATGCAATGCGTTTTAGGTAATTACATTTGTTCGCTTATTAGATATATATGCACAAATATACATACATGTATACACATGTATTCCATATATATTCCATATTTATATTTTATAGAATTTGTTTAGTTGTAGCTGCTTTTTGGTGTCAACATCTCAATTATGGGGTCTGTGTACGCTTACTCGCCCACTATTAAACACTAATACATCATCATCATCGTCATCATTATCGTCATTATCAATTTTCATAAAATATTCTAGTCACATTTGCCTTGAGCCCCACCCAAGTGTCATATACACGTCTGGGCTGTTGCAGTTCATCTCACATGGACATTTCGGGCATTTTGTTGTGCTTCAAATTGATCTGCACACTTTGGGAGAACATCTTGACGATGCCATAGTTATCGTTGGTGTACACCCTTAGAAAACTAGGCACATTCTTGTTCAGAAGCTCGTGACAAAATTGCGGATATTTTCGAAACGCTGGCTGCTTATCATCCCACATGGACAAGATGTCGCAGTCATCGCTGTAAGCATTGAAACACACACACATTAGCACAACTATTCGAATCAATTAAGTGGACAGACTTACTGCACTTCGTTGGTGCACTCGTGTAGCGATATGATTAAGTATTGGATTTTCAACTGCGTATACTGATTGTAGATATCAGACGACTGCTGGCGACTGTACACCGAGTAGACGTGCTCCGTCCGCTCCCTGTGAAGTAGTTGATAGTTGGCATAAGAGCCTTAAATTGGCAAACACTCGAAGCAGGTCAACAATGAGAGACTTACGCCATTTGACGCATTTCGAGGTGTGCGTGATTGACGATCGGCCGCCTGGTTGTCAAGTGCACGGTGCCAATTATCTCAATGGGTCCGGCGAAGACGGCATCACGTTCCGTATTCAATTTGATCCACTCGAGCATGCCCTCCAGGTCATCCGTCGGCTGGCTGTACCGTGTGGGAAAGTACTCCTCGCGTATATTCTACAAATGAACTCACTGAAGTCAATAAATATATAAATGAGAGAGAGAGCTTGTCAGCTAACCACCATGCCGGGATCGAACATGCTGAGCAGGAAGACGGCCAGCGAGACGGACCAGAAGACGTTGCGCTGACGATGATACCAGATCTTGGAGCAGATCGTCGGCGCTATCACACAGCCCTGCGTGAAGCTGAGAAAGAAGAGCTTCCGCACGGCCAGGCCGACCAGCGTGAAGATCAGCATCTGAATGAAGCTGTACAAGTAATGCAAGTTCAATATTTGAGCGTTGATTGTGGGCACGACAGAGTCGCGACGCCCTGCCGTACGACGTCTGCCGTTGGCTGGCTCTTTGGGCTCCTTGGCTTTGGACGGTAATGTTTCCTCAGGTTCAGCTGTTGTTGCTGTCGGCGGCACTTCAGTTTCAGCTTCTGTTTTAGATTCGCTTTCGCTTTCAGTTTTAGTTTTAGTTTCAGGTTCTATTTGTGTCTTCGTCTCTGAATTAGTTTCCGTTTCTGTTTTTGCTTGGGCGGGAGTTTCGGTGATCGTCGGCTCTTTGACATTCGATTCGCTGGCCTGTTCACGCTCCTTGCGTTGCTTGTCCCAGTTGCGATGTATCTGCGCCTTGAGCCGCTTGATGTCCTGCATGAAGTCATCACGTTCCGGTGGCTGCTCTTGCTGCATTTTGGCCTTCTCCCGTTTGTAGCGCTCGTAGTCGTGGTCGCAGCTCTCGAGCATGGCGAAGCATTGCTGGAGCTGCTGTTCGGTTTGCTTGTTGGACATATCACTCATGGATACGTGGTGCTCCTCGAGGAAGTCCTCCAGCACATAGTTGCGAGCGCGCTCTCGCTGCTCCTGATTGGCCTTTGTGATGATGTTGCTCTTGCGCCACTTGCGGAAGAATGTGGCCAGCATGACGACGCCGTACATGCAGTAGGGCTTCACGATCAGCGTCTTGACCAACTGCCACAGCTCCGACCAGGCGACGCGCTCATAGAGCGGATTGCAGGCAGACAGATTGGTCACGAAGCTCACCTTCGTCTGCAGCACCCAGTATGCCCACATGTCGCAGTAGTGCACGTAGGTGTTCTCTTGCCAATTGAGCAGCCCCGACCTGTTCAGCATGTCCACAAGTTTGCTCTGCATGTTGTTCGCGAACAGCGGCGCCAGCAGCAGAAACTTCAACGAAAAGTAATCGCCTTGCTGCACATTGCTGGATGCACGGCGATTGCGGAACTGCCGGAAGAGCGTAATCATAAACATGCTGAGGGCCAGGCTCAGTTGCCAGGTGAAGAGCAACTGGGTGTTGCCGTGTGAGATCAGAAAGGCCAGGGCGTTGCCCAGCAGATGTGAGAGCGAATAGTCCAGGGCGAAGGCCAGCCCCACGGGTATCGAGCAAATATTCCACGAGGACATCACTATTAATATCTGCGTGGTGAATATATAGTTGGAGAACGGCCACGAGAGCAGGGCACAGGCCGTAAACACAGACATCGAGCCGACCTAGGGAAAGTGCAGTCACAGAACATTATTTTCGATCGATCACAGAATCATCTGGATATTTACCATAAAGAAGCGTGAGGTGTGCTTCTGCCGGTGCAGCAGCCGGCTGATGCAAATGCACAAATAAAACATTTGTAGGAATATAAAGGGAAATGCAAAATTTTCACGGGCCAGTGGCCGCTCATAGATTTTGCCAGCAAAGCTGTGGAACATCAAATATGAGATGACGCCATAGATGCCACCAAAGACATTCTCGCTGAGCAGCGTCCCGTACAAGTAGAGCACCAGCAGCGTGAGCCCGCCCATTAGCCAAACGAACTCCAGGTAGAACTCCATGGGCTGCAGGCTGGGATTAAAGCCGGCGCGCACAATATGGAAGACGTAGCTGCAATCAAGATAACAAAGGGAGATAGAAAATTTCATCAGCCCAGCCTCACGTGGCTAATCCCCAACCAATCATAGTATGGGTTGCCTTCTTCTTAATCTCTGTTACTTCGATTGTTGATGCAAGGCCGGCGATATTTTTAGTATTATATTTCTTATTTGTTTTGCTCTCGTATCAATTGCTTGACTAGAAAACAAAACTTCTATTCAAGCAATGACTCACTTTCCCAGAAATAAATAATTATAAAATTGTGCATGCTTTAAGGGCGTGGACCTCGAACAGGTGCAAGTGCATTTGGTATATTAAGTTACTTACGCTGTAACCAGCTCAGGAAGCACATAGAAACGCTGGAGCACATTGACGCTGTGCGGATACTCAATGTCTGTGACATTCTTCAGCTGGTCGTAGCCATGCCAGAAGTCTGGGCCATCGGCTAGCTTCTTGTAGAATGTATAGTAGAGGGCATCTTCGCGGCGCAGCAGCGATTCGCGCTCCAATTGATTGAGATGCCGTATGTTGGTACGCGCCTCGAAGATAACGCGCACATGGTGCACATACAGAAAAAAGAAACCCGAGCCTAATGGCTGCGTATTATCGCTGAAGCGGCCGGCGATTTTCAATAAATCTACTTACCAATTAGCGCGTGTGATAAAATTACGTACAAATTGGGCTCGCGCATATTTCTGTCGTTTATGTTGCGTCTTTCTGGTTAGTTCGATTGCTTATTCATAATTTGTGCCTGCGTCTATTTGATTAAATTAGCAGAATTCCACTTGATATGGCTGCAGCTTTTACTCGTAAACAAAAAAGTATTTACCTCAGCTGATATTTTCGTTGCCATAAAGATGAATCAGCTGACTCCAGCGAATTTCACCAGCTGTGCTATCGATGCACTGACATGCAGTATTTTTATATCGAATATAACGGACTTACAGCTCTATACGATTTGCATTTATTGAAATAGTTGCCCATTATTGCAATTAATTAATTTAATTCTTAATATAAGTTGTCTAGTTTTATTTGCTAATTAGTGCGGTGCGAACTTCAAATTAAAGGCGCCTACTATCGATGTCGTTGTTATCGATTATAGGGTGCACGATGATTGTGGGTGTTTGGTATTTTGCGTGAAATGTTTTGTTTTCAAATTGCAGTCACACTGCGGCTTCTTAACATTTCTGCATTTGAAGGCGCATTTTAGTTTTTAAAATAAGTTTAATAAAGAGTGAGTATCCTTCGCTGTCCGCTGACCATGGAGCGTTATTTGGTGAGCTCTTTGGTGGGCCAGGGATCATTTGGCTGTGTTTACAAGGCCCAGCGGCGAGCCGACGACAAAGTGGTGGCCATCAAAGTCATTTCCAAGGTAAGTTTTTTCGCATAACATTCCATCAAAGGCAAGGCGTGTGCAGTAGCTGAATACTAATTAGTAATATCTTTGCAGCGAGGTCGCTCCAATCGTGAGCTGAAGAATCTGCGCCGCGAATGTGACATTCAGGCGCGCCTCAAGCATCCCCATGTCATAGAAATGGTTGAGTCTTTCGAGTCTAAATTCGACTTGTTTGTGGTCACCGAATTTGCGCTCATGGATTTGCATAGATATTTGTCTTTCAATGGTGCCATGCCAGAAGATCATGCACAGCGTGTTGTCTGTCATCTGGTGTCGGCTCTCTATTATCTGCACTCAAATCGCATACTGCATCGGGATTTGAAGCCGCAGAATGTGCTTCTGGACAAGAATATGCACGCCAAGCTCTGTGACTTTGGCCTGGCACGCAACATGACGATGGGCACCCATGTCCTCACCTCCATAAAGGGCACACCACTCTACATGGCACCAGAGCTACTTGCCGAGCAACCATACGACCATCAGGCCGATATTTGGTCATTGGGTTGCATCGCATACGAGAGTATGTCCGGACAGCCGCCGTTCTGTGCAACCTCCATACTGCACCTTGTTAAGCTCATCAAGCACGAGGATGTCAAATGGCCCAGTACGCTAAGCAGCGAATGCCGCTCTTTCCTCCAGGGCATGCTCGAGAAGGATCCGGGAATGCGCATCTCGTGGACCCAGTTGCTCTGCCACCCTTTTGTCGAGGGCAAGCTGTACATACCCGAGGTGCAAGCAGCGCAGACCTCGCCCTTTATAAACCCCCAACTGGCCAAAGACACCAAGCTCTTGCAGCATTCTCGGTGCGTACTCATTTTCAACTAAAGTAAACCCCGTTAATCCTCCACTTTTATATAGACACAATGGCGTGGATTTGGGTGAGGTATTGGCAGCTCTTAAGCTGAGCGACGTGGCCAATGAAAACTTGAGCACCTCCCGCGATAGCATCAATGCCATTGCGCCGAGCGACATTGAGCAGTTGGAAACGGATGTTGAGGACAATGCGCACCGGGTAATTGTGCCATTCGCGGACGTTTCCTATCGAGCCTTGCCCACCAACACAGCCGCCGCTGTGACTGCTGCCATGCCAGTGGTCAATTCACAGACCTGCTTTGTCAGTGGCAACTCGAACATGATACTCAATCATATGAACGACAACTTTGCCATCGAAACGCCGGCCGCCAGCGCAACGAAATCGATGAGGTCCAAGCTGATGATGGCGCTCAATATTAAGCAGTCGCGCAGCAAGGATTTGGAAAAGCGCAAGCTCAGTCAAAACTTGGACAACTTCTCGCTGAGGCTGGGACAGAGCATCGATGTAGAGGCGCAGCGTAAAACAACCGAGATGCTCACGCAGCAGACCCAAGCGCAAGTGCAAGCGCAGCAGCTGAATGAGAAGAAGGCACAGCAGCTAAAGCAATCGATGCATTCGAACAACGATGAAAAATTGAGCAGCGAGTTAGTAAATCAATGCGGATCTGAGGTTCATTCGTTTTAAAGAAATCTCTTCTTGTTTCAGCAATTCACCTCCTTGTCTATTGCCCGGCTGGGACAGCTGCGACGAGTCTCAGAGCCCGCCCATTGAGAACGACGAGTGGCTGGCGTTTTTGAATCGCTCGATACAGGAGCTGCTCGACGGGGAATTCGATTCGCTGAAGCAGCACAATCTAGTCAGCATTATTGTGGCACCGCTGCGCAACTCAAAGGCCATACCCAAGGTGCTGCTGAGCGTTGCGCAGCTGCTGTCGCTGCCCTTTGTGCTGGCCGATCAGCATCTGGTGGCGGAGGCCATCAAGGGCGTCTACATTGATGTGAAGCTGGTGCCCAATTTGATGTACGCTTGCAAGCTGCTCCTCTCGCAGCGCCAGCTAACCGACTCGGCTGCCTCGCTGCCAGGCGCCACGGGCGTCTCTCTAAGCCGCACGCTACGCAGCGTCTCCGACCTTACAGCCGAGGAGATGAACACCGCCTGCAGCTTGTACGAGCTGGTCTGCCATCTGGTCCATCTGCAGCAGCAATTTCTCAGCCAGTTCTGCGATGCAGTGGCCATACTCGCTGTCAACGACATGTTCATTAGCTTTCTGACTCACGGTAAGCAATAGGCAGAAGGAGTGGACGACAGCAATCCAATTCTAACAATTCCTTTGTGGTTGCAGATTTCAAAGACAGCAGCGCGGTACGCTTGGCCAGCTGCATGCTGGCCTTGTTCTGTTGCGTTCTGCGCGAGCTGCCCGAGAACGCCGAGCTGGTCGAGAAGATTGTATTCGACTCGCGCCTGCAGCTGGTGACACTCCTGCAGAGTCAGCATCAGCTGTTGCGGCAGCGCGCCTGCCAGATGCTGTTGCTCTTGGCACGCTTCAGTCTGCGAGGCGTGCAGTGCATTTGGAATGGCGAGCTGAAGAGCGCCCTGCAGGCGCTGGCCGAGCAGCAGACCTGTCAGTCCCTGCGACTGGAGGCCGCCCAAACGCTTGAGGAGCTCAGTCAGTTCAGCTTCTTTGTTGCCCAGGCAACTGCTTAGTGTTTATTACTCAAATTAATTGTATTTGCTCAATAAATCGTAATCCATGTCTAGCCAAACAGACCCTGCAGATTGCCTTGAAAATAGTCGAGCAGCTCGTCCAGGTAGCTCCCAAAGACATCGAGGCCCAGCAGATCGCTGCTATTGCAGTCCTGTTCATACATTTCGTTCAGCTTGGATATGTCCTTCTCGGACAGGCCGCGTCGTTGGCCCAGCGAGGCGTATGGATCCTAGTTAAAATATGTACTAATTAGTATTAAAATTATATTGTATTTAATTTGATTTGGTTTTCTTCACTTTAGGCTCATTTTATTCAATTTGATTTTGTTTCATATACATTATCTTACCTCTCTCTAAGTTTGATATATTAGCTTTATGTGTAGGCATCCATTTTCATATCATTGATGTCAATGATAAAATTGATACTATATTTTCCTTTCATTCGTTCTCTCTTTTTCTAATTTCAAATGCTAATGAAATGTACTTTATCCTAATTATATTTATAATTCTTATCCAACAAAACAAATGCAGTCATAAGAAAGTATTGGATAGCATTACAGCTATTTCTCATTTCTTTTTCGGAGATTTAGATCCTTCGACTATAAGTAAGAGTCTCTTCTACCTACTTTCCATTAATCTTTATTTCCCCTCTTCATTCTTACTTACTATGTATCTCTTGCAGTTCTCTTTCACCCTCTTTTGCTGTCTCATTTCTTACATCTCTTTCTTCGTCACTCTCTCTCTCTCACTATATCTCAAAATCTCTCTCTCTCCCTCATCTATCTCTCAATTACTCCCTCTATCTCTCTCTTGGCTATTCGTCTCTCTCTATCTCGCTATCTCTATCTCTCTCTCTATCTCTCTCTCTCTCTCTCTCTCTCTCTCTCTCTCTCTCTCTCTCTCTCTCTCTCTTGTATACTCCTTTCATCCATTCTTTCTTTCTCTCTACGCCTCTAGCCGTTCTCTCTCTCTCTCTTTCTGCCTCCCTCTTACTCTTTTTGCCTTCCCAAATCTCTCTCTATCTCAATTACTCTCTCAATCTCTCTTTTGTCTACTCCTCTCACCCATTCCCTCTCTCTATGTAAATTACTAAACTCTTTTATTTATATTCTAATTTATTTTGCTTCTTCTTGAATACAACACTATATATGTAGGTATTTTGAATCTAAAGATGCTGGACGAAATTGAGCTTTGGCAAAAGCTGAAGCATTTTGGATTAGAGACTTGAACTAGAAATCACTTACCAGCGGCTCAATCGTTGGCTTTCCATTCTTGCTGAACGCCAGGGAGCTGTAGTGCATGACGCTCTGATAGTCGTACTCGACGCCAAAGTTGGTGATGTGGGTGCGGGCGTACTTATTAAAGTTGTGGGCGTGGCCATCCAAGATATTCTCCCAGTTGATCTTCACATACTCGTCGCGCTCGGTGGCGCTCTGCTGGTGGTAGAAGCCCAAAGCGTGCAGCAGCTCGTGAACGATCACGCCGTGAGTGACACATTTGGGCGTATTGAGATTGAGTATTTGGCCGCCTTGCCGCCGGCCGACGCTCGACCAGCAGCCGGAGTAGTTGCCCTTGATGAGCAGCCAGTGCTTGTCGCCCTTCTCGTATGGCCGAAACCGTATGCAGGTGCGATCGTGATACTCCTTGAACGCCTTCAATATGACCATTGTCTGGTTGGCCGCTGTCCCAAAGCACCTTTCAAACTTCAATTATCGCATTGGATGTGCATTTCTTTGGCTACTCACTGAAGTCATCCGCGTCTATGTAGAACGGCACGCCGGCATCCGGCCACGTCTGTCGCTCGTTCAGCAGTCCGTTGCGCAAGAGCTCGCGATGCAGCATGATGTCGCCCTCGAAGAGGCCGCTGTGCTCCCAGATGTTCGTCTCGCTGTTCTCCGACCAGAAGTCAAAGGCGGCGCCTGCAACAACCAAAATAGATAACTGCCATATAGACCACATCGACGACCTGGCCACCGTGCGTACATACTGTTGTGCCGGCGCAGCATCTGCATGTTGGCGCCCCAGCGTGGCGGCGGCGGCACAGCCGGCTTGAAGCGTCCCATGGCCGTGGCCAGGCCGAGGCCCACGGCCAGCCAGAGAATGATAAGCGCGCGTCTCGGCATTGTTTGGCCAAAAGAAACACCTTCCCGATCGTCTCAACGCTTTTATATATTTGCCCAAAGCGCCCAGACGGCCGTGCGGCTCTGGGCTGGCGACAAAGCGACAATTGAAAGTAATTGGGCTCGGGCAATTGGTCGGGGCCCAACGTCGCTAACACCATCGCCCACGCCGCTCGAATCACGCATAACGGATTTATGCTGCCCTTCGCATGGGCGGGCAACCACACATTCACATTTAGTTTGCTGCGCTGAAATTTTATAGGAAATTATGAGTGAGGTGATCAAGTGATATGGTTGATAGGTAAGAACATTTTACTATCGTATTCGTAGGATTTCATTTTTGCTTGGATTAATATTTGAGTTGGAGAAGTGTAAGAAGTAAATATGATTTCAATATGAGCTTAATAGAAATGAGAATAAAATTAATGTGAGCTGAATATTATTCTAATAGGAGCTGCATATGATGCTAATGGGAGCTGAATCTGAATGAACTTAATTAGAGCTGTATGTGAACTGAATCTGAGCAGAACATCAGCCTAACATCAAATGTTGAATATAAGCTGGATATGATAGATGAGATGAATATGAATCTGACTGAATCTGAGTTGAGTTTGAGTTTAATCTAATTTAGATACGAGCTGCGTATGAGCTAAAAATGAGCTAAATTAGCTAAGTATCAAATTTTCACTTCAATATGCTCTAAAGTTGAGCAGAATCTATGGTTGAGCTGAATATAAAGCTTGGCTAAAATAACATCTATCTAGGCTCCCTATTGGAATTTTTGATAGTCCAAATTATTATTATTATTTCGCATTTTTTTTTTTTGTTTAGTAAATTATTGATAAAAGAGATTGTAGGGAACTTGAATAAAATGTTCAATAATTTTAAGATTTTGTAGGCATACTAACGATTTTTCTTTTATTGTGTTGGCTCATTAGAAATGATTTAATAATATAAGTTTCAACTGGGTATGACTAAGCGGATAGATATAAATAGTAAATTATCTATATATATTAGATTCATTATCATTGCTAACTCATCAGCATAGCTTCCCTTCCTGTTCTGAGAGCTCTTAAATTTTCGATTGCGATAGAGCATTGAAATGGCTATGCAAAGTATATAGTTATTTCTTCATTTTCTTTTGACTTTGTCTTTGTCTTCGTTTGTAATTGGCGTTGTGCTCTCTCTTTCAGCGCGTATTTAAATTCCCTTGTCTTTTACGGCTTTTGATTTCATATTTAACTGGGATATTGGGTTATCAGCGGCAACAGGGCGCGCATATGAAAATAGCACAGTCACCGAGCGCCGGCGATGCTAGTGATGGGTCCATGTCGTGACACGCAGCAAAGTCATAAATCTATGCCTATATTATGTCTGTATGTATATATAATATCCAAAGTATATACATATATGATATGATTATATATTGGTGAAGCCGTGCGTGCCCATCATCGTATGCCAGCGCTACTTATGCCGTCACAGTCACGAGCCCATCTCTTTGCCGGCAGAACCTGCATGCAGCCATCATACGAGTTGTATGTCATTTGGAAAGTTGCATGCAACATATATGTATGCATGCGTGTGTAGCCAAACTGCGTGCCTTCATATGTTTGTCAAGAAGTTAATTTTAAATTATTAAATTCACGATTCGTTCGCGTCATTTAGGGACTTTACAAAGTGAAGTTGGCTGCGCCAAAGAAATTCAGATGGATTAACATTGCTTTTGACCAATTTTACATAATTTACATGTTTACATTTTACTAATTTACATTTTAGTAGAAGTCCTGGGCTTACTAATATAATAAGGATAATGATATACCCATAGTGACTATCCTACCCTACAACTCCTACAGGGTATCGAGCGAAGTGAGCAGCCTTAGCAGACATTTAGTCGGTGCATGGAACAATTGGAAGTCTTCACAGATAGTCGCAGTGGCGGCTTTGAATTTAAAAGCGCTCACGTCGAGAGGTGACGTCGTGAAAGCCTAATCAATGATCGCCCAGCGACAGTGAATGGGCGATCGAAAAGTTCTTTGAACCTGAACCTGAACCTGAATCTGTATCTGTATCTGTATCTGTATCTGTATCTGTATCTGTATCTGTATCTG